ACAACGACAGCTAGCTCCTGCATCAGGTCGCGATGTTTCGCGATGTTGCGATTTTCCGCAACGCAGGATGTCGGGGGACGGCGATGACGATGATGACGGGGACGACGACGATGATGATAGTCATGCTGAAGCTGATGCTGATGCTGATGCCGATGCTGCTGATGATGATGCTGATGATGATCGTCAGAATGATGACAATGAAGACGGCGATGGTGATACTGCTGCTGATTATCATATGGTGACTGATGAGGATAATGAGTAGTGAGTATGATGATATGGTGGCGATGCCGATGACGATGGCACAATGGCGATGGCAAGTGTGACGATGATGATTCTGACGACGGTGATAAAGATGTTTGCGATGATGACGACGGTTACGATGACGATGATGCTGATGCTTGTGGTGATGATGATGATGATGGTGATGAGAATGATGGCGACGATGAGGATGATGATGATGATGATGACGGTGGTGGTGGTGATGATGATGATGATGATGATGATGATGATGATGATGATGATGATGCTTAGCACAGGCTGTTCAGAGAATGGAGGGTGGTGGTACCAATGCGGAGTGAGGGAAAAGCAAATGTGCGTCCACATCGCGCTCTGCACGTCTTCCGTGAATCGCGCGCTGGGAAAGCTCCCAGCTCCGCTACCAACTAGAATTGCGGGGGCTGGTGGCGAGAAAGAGAGCATGGAGGCGATACAATCAGGTAAGGAGACCCGATCTTCCTATATCAAAGATGCAAACGCACTGGTGCTTGAGTCCAGCTGGCGGCGGGGCATTCTTTTCGAGTGAGGAGGTGGAGGAGGAGGACGAGGACGAGGAGGAGGAGGAGGAGGAGGAGGAGAAGGACGACGAAGGCGAGGACGAGGACGAGGACGAGGAGCAGGAGGAGGAGGAGGAGGACCAGCCCTGCCAGAGCGATCGTGTCACCAGATTACCGGTTACCCTCACGAGCTACCAATGCGTCGGCGATGCATCGGCGCCGTCGGCGTGGAGGAAGTCGGGATCCACATCGAGCCGCATCGGCGATGCATCGGCGATGCGGCACGATCCTCCGACCCCGTCTACTCGGACCCCATCTGGGAGGCCTAGAGATCCTGAGCAGGAGGAGAGCGAGGAGGAGGATCCACCTTTGCCGCTTTTTTCCGTCCTCCCTGGTGGCCGAGCATCGACGGGAAGTTAATCCCCCCCCTGGAGCCCGCCGGAGGGACGTGGAGTCAGATCGAAATATCGGACCCAATGCCGTCAGTGCCCAGTGCCCAGGAGTAGGAGGAGCACGAGGAGGAGGAGGACGACGACGACAACGATGAAGGGGAGGATGAGGAGAAGGAAGGGGAGGAGGAGCAGAAGGAGGAGAAGGACGACGACGACGACGACGACGACGACGACGACGAAGGGGAGGATGAGGAGGGGAAGGAGGAGTAGGAGGAAGAGGAGGAGGAGAACGCTACAGGCTAGATTTTTAAGTCGGGCTAGACGACAGGAGGAGCAGGAGGAGGAGGAGGAGGAGGAGGGGGAGGACGAGGAGGAGGAGGAGGAGGAGGAGGAGAACGAGGAGGAGAAGGAGGACGAGGAGGAGAAGAAGGACGAGGACGAGGACGAGGAGGAGAATGACGACGAGGACCAGGAGGAGGACGAGGACGAGGAGGAGGACGAGGAGGAGGAGGAGGAGGAGGAGGAGGAGGAGGAGGAGGAGTGGGAGGAGGAGAAGGAGGAGGAGGACGAGGAGGAGGAGGAGAACGAGGAGGAGAAGGAGGACGAGGACGAGGACGAGGAGGAGGAGAATGACGACGAGGACCAGGAGGAGGACGAGGACGAGGAGGAGGACGAGGACGAGGAGGACGACGAGAAGGACGAGACAGACTTTTTTACTCCTCCCCGATCCGCGCGACGAAAATGTGAGGCGCCGCTGACGGGGCCGAGGCGCCGCAAGAGGGCCCACCGAGGCAGGCCGGTGGCGGCGCCCCAGCCCCCATCCCTCTCTCCACGTTCCTCCGCAATCCCTCCTCCTCGACCCCCCCCTCCTCATCCTCGTCTTTCTCCCTCCATCCCTCCTCCTTCCCTCACTCCTCCCTCGCTCCTTCACTCCTCCTGCCCTCCCTCCCCCTCCCTGCTCCCTCCCTGCCTCCTTCCTCCACTGCGCAGAGGGCACCTAATACACCACCACCGTGCCGGGCCAAGGCCATCCTGGGCCCTGGCATGGTGTGTGCATGGCCTCCTGGCCTCGGCCAGGAGGCTATGCACACCATCCTGGGGTCAAGGCGGGCACGTCCCTCTACAAGAGGAATATTCACGAGGAGTCATCAAAAAAATCTGGGGACGATGGTTCTACTATCTTTTCAACTATCTTTGACTATGTCTTTCACTATTTCGGAGCTTTCCTTTCAAATCCGCCTGTGGGAGGACAGGCCGGGCTGACCTGATC